TCAGGCCTGGGCCAGAGCAGAGGGTGACTTTGACAAAGTGCCTGGGCTGAGATACACTCTAAGCTCCGAATTGCAATACTGCAATAGCGATTAAGTGGCAGAGGGCTAATGGTCAGGGGGGGGGGGATGCCTGTGACCTGGTGTTGGTAGCATCATGGCTCTCTTTCGCTTAACAACCCTGCTTCTTAATCCCAAATTGAATCTACAAGGTGCCTTTGGGAAAAGTGCTTAATCCTGAATAGCTCCAATAACTTCCGGTTAATACATAATGTGGGCAAAATACATAAGTTGCTTCGCCTAAAGCTGCTCAGTTAAGACAGTGTTCGGTGATATATATGGATTGATAGCTTGTAGTTTAGTTTGAAGGTGATGCTGAAATTGTAAAAGCTGTTAAGGACTGCGTTCTAATTGATGGCTGGCTCAAGGAGGTTTGAACAGCTGCCTCCAGCTCCATACACCTTGGCTATATGGCAAGTCCTTTAAAGACAATTATCCGCGCACATTAACACTGCCTCGTACGCAGGCACGCTCACAGGCCTCAATGGCAGGAATAACAAGAGAAGAATTTAGTTAGTGGAAAATGCCAGGTGCCTGAATGAGAGGATTAATTACACTCTGAAGGGGGTATTTAAGACGTGACACGGCTTGCCTCTCAGAGCATCTGAATATGACAGGCATTCAGGTGAGAGGGGCCTGGGCGGACCCAGCTTTGTCTCATCTCAGATTGGGAATTTAATTAAACCGAAATCGCTGAAATAAAGGAAAAGGCCAGGTTCAATCCCAGTGCAATCATCACGTTGGAAATGTTGGCGCACAGGTCAGGGGGAGAAGGATTTGCTGTGATGAGCCTGTGATTAAGATATAAGCATGGGCTTTTTTTAGACCTTTCTTTATCCCATTACTTAAACAAAGTGTGTTGCTGTGGCTCCGTTGAGAATAGAATAGAATAATAGAATCCTTTATTGTCATTATACAGGTACAATGAGATGAGTAGAGCTACTTGTAAAAATACAAAAAAACAAACAAGAGACGTACAACATTCAGGAGAAGACAACATACAGACTGTTAAAGACTGTTGTGTTTGCGACGGCATTAAATCGAAACCATTCAGCTTAAGGCTAGATATCAATCTGGCTGACTCCTGTAATATAAAAATGGTGCAATTTTTCAATTCTAATCACCAACAGCAAGCACCACCTGGATGTGTACGCAGCGTAACATTAGAAAAAATATTGTGTATAACACTTGGGTCCTTTGTGTTGTGGCCCCTCGACACGGATATGTATCCAGTTATTAGAGCATGATTCTTGTAACGTCACCCAGTAATAAACTACCTTTGCTAGAGGTTTTATTCCCTGTTTGTATGGCCTGTTATTGTGTTATGGGATGTATTCTTGGTAAGCGGACTGCCTTAGGGTCACAGCAAATCACATACTGCAGCCTTCATGTTTAAGTGTTCATCACCTTCATCAGTACCTCTCATAGCTACACGCAGAGCCAGGGGGTTCCTCCGAAAGTCTCGCACTTTTTATTTCCTCTTCCTAAGACAAATGTCAAGTATCTGGGCTTTAGCGGGGGAGCATGGCCCACCCGTCTGCCGCCAGTGGTGCGCAGACAGCTAGATAAATGCGCGGTCTACAATGCGTCAGGCTTTGCACCGGAGGCATGGAGTCAACGGCGTAATGCGAGGCCGTGCCGTGATAGCAGCAGGAGGATTTTAATCATCGCCTCTCCCCAGGAATGACACCAGCGCCGCACGGGGTAACAGAGATAGAGAGCGGGGAGGCTGGCACCCAGCAGACAAACAGCAGTCTTGCAAACAGCGCCGTGTGGATTAGTGGTGTCGCTCGGTGAAAAGTATGTGTGCTTCTGGCCAGGCGGGAGGAGAAACATGTCTCTGTTTTTTAGGGGGCTGGAATCAGGATTCATGGCATCATTAACCACCAGCTAAGGCTCCAACACTGATATTAAATAAGTATATCAATTGTCTGTGAAGCCTATATATGGTTTAGAGAGAGCACTCATTTGTCTCTCTGCTGTCTGCAAAAGCTTAACATCTTTTTCTACTTTATTTCACCTTTTAGGAGCCATTTTCATTGCAGAGGCTATTATAATCCAACCATTATCCTGCTTCCTACTTAGTTTTGCTTCTGCCAGATGTTTAAAGATGGCTCTTTCAAGTCTACACATGCCTGATGTGTCCCTATGGCCATGTTGTATGGAGTAGAGAACAGAAAAAGTGTTGGCTCAGTTTGTATCAAGCAAGCATTATGGGAGCCTTGTTGGATTGAAGGCGTCAAATAACCTTTGGTGATAAACAGGGTTCACAGGTGTCACTGCTGCTGGCCCCGGAGCAGTGGTGGTGCTCTTTAATTGGCTGTGAGGTTACACTTCGGGAGGAAGCAGCCTCAGAAGTTATGAAAGGATTGACGGAGGACTGAGAGAAATAACGAAAGAGCAGATGGGTGAATATCCACAACACTGAGACAGATGCCTACATTTCTGGTACAAAAGTATAAAAGGAAAACACAGATGTTGTTGAGGTTTAACTAAAGGAGAGAAAGGTAGCTTTATTTCCCTCCACTGTTGCGAGACAGCACCACTGTTCATTATTCCATGCAGGACTGAAATGGCATGTTTTGCAGAGCAACAGCAAAAGATTATTGCTTTATTGACCACCGTCATCCCACTGTAAGCCCACTGGCAGGGACTTTGGAAAAAAAGAAAGTGGACAGCTCACTATAATTTAGCTAACTGAGCCATTTAGTTAGAGTAGCCAATAACAGTTTTCAGCTGGAGGGACTATAATGACGTTAATAAATGATGGCAGAGAGAGAAAATTAAACACTTAATGGAATTGTTTATTTTCAAGTAGGACTGCGGTTGACGGTCAAAGGCATCTTCATTGAAGATGCCTTTGACCGTCAACCGCAGTCCTACTTGAAAATAAACAATTCCATTAAGTGTTTAATTTTCTCTCTCTGCCATCATTTATTAACGTCATTNATAAACATTGATTGATTGATTGATTGATTTACAAGTGCCCATAGTATCAACAAGCATTTCATTTAGTCTAGCTTTAAAAACAATGTAGAATTAGCTTTTAGCTTCCCTGTTAGCGGTGTAACCGTGAATTCACG